CTGTTACCAAAAAATAAATAACTTTTTGCGATGGTGCAGAATACATTTGAGTTAATTGATCTGCACACCTAAAAAAAATGTTTGTATTCTTGTAACGAGTGTGAATGTCCCAGACCATCTTTTTTATTCTATCTTAAATAAATCAACCCAAGCAACTGGTCGACCAAATAAATTAACGAAAAAGATTCATAGACATTATCACATAAAATCAAAAGATACAGATGAAGAAATAAGTGTAATAGATTACTCTGACTATGTTTACAAATCACCGCAGCCCCATTTCACATATGTAGATGTAATTAATTCATTGACAGATGATGAATTGGGGGAAATTAAGCATACTCAAGTATTAGATATTAATTCGGATGAAAGTTTGGATTCGTCATGCGGAAAATGGCAAGAAGAATATATGAAATTGCATGCGAATATTTTGGATGATAAGGCGGAACAGAGATACGTTACCTATATTTGTGATGTTAACACAAATTGTGGTGGATTAGCAGATCGGTAAGTTATATTATAAATACCCTGAACAGCCCAGTGTTAGCAGTTGTTCCGGCCAAAAAATGGCTAAGTTCTTATGTTTTAGCCAGCCAATGGCTGAAATGGCTGTTTTGGCAGATAAAATTGCCAACACCGGGGTCTGAACATTACTATAGCTGCATTATTGTCTATCCATTTTTTTAAATAATTAAATAGAAAATATATATTAATTTTTTTTTTTTTTAATAATTTATAAGAATATTTGGCATGACATCGACATTCCTATTCGCTCTTCTTACAAACCGAGCTTTTCTCGCAGACTGGCAGGTTCCTATTCCCTTAGACACAGTATTCTCATCGCCAAATATCGATTGGAGTCATGATACCCTTTCGCCTTCACCTTCGCTTCTCGCTTTGCAATCCAGTGACCTTAACGTTATCGACTTTGATGCACAACATCTTGACCAATATTTTATGTTACATAATTGGACTTTAAAGTATCCAGAACCGTTTATAAAGCTTTATACAAATAGAGGAATGATAATGAGAACTTTTGGATCAAAACATTATTCAAAATATTTAAAAGATATTGGATTAAGACCACACACGGCCATTGGGTGTATTCTTGATTATTTGTTTCGTCCAGTTCCTGAAGCCTTATGGTTTATTACGGAATATACTTCTTTGTTTGCGTTACCTAGTATTTTTTCCGTCGGAATCCAAATTCGAACGGGTGATTCTAAGATGAATAAAAAAGATGGTCTGGGACATTCACACTCGTTACAAGAATACAAACATTTTTTTAGGTGTGCAGATCAATTAACTCAAATGTATTCTGCACCATCGCAAAAAGTTATTTATTTTTTGGTAACAGATTCTGTAAGGTTAAGAGATGAGGCTATCCAGAAACTTGAACATGTAATAGTTTCAGGATTACCTGTTAGTGGTGAAGGAAATAAAGAAGAGAATGATTGGGATAAAGCGAATGAGATTAATAATGCAATAATTGAAAATTGGATACTAAGTAAAACAGATTACAGAGTATGTATTGAAAGTAATACAATGGTTGAATTTCTAAAACATTTATGAGAGATCAGCAGAATACCGGACGTTGATATGTCTGATAGCTAACCGCGGAACCAATATCCTTCCATAGTGAAAATACGCGCCAAAAATAAGTTAGCTATCAGACATATCGACGCCCGGTATTCTGCTGATCTCTCTCAGAAATGTTATAGAAGTTCTAAAATTCAACCTGTGATAATAATTATATATATATATTTAATCATCAAATTTTCTATTAATTTGTTTATAATGAAATAGGTCATATCACCGGGTGGATATGGAAAGTTATCAGCATTTCATTCAAAACAATTACATTCCACTGTGTCTATGGTATACTCTGGACTTAACGACCAGGTACCGGATTGCACACGCGAGGACGCGTTCACAACGTTTAATAAGTTAGCCAGCGAGTTATCTTTAGGATAAATTAGACGAATAATAATTTTCAAAGGATAAAGTTTACTTAATTTTATATCTTACTTATTTATGTGCTCGACTTAATCTAGATGTTGTATAGTAACAAATATAGAATATTAAATAATCAATGGTTTATTTATTATTTATTGCCAATTCGATCAGGTTAAAAATATGAAGACTAAGAATACGGGTAATATCCGCAGTAGAGATTGGAACCGATGACTAATTTTTCGAGCATCGGTCAAAAATTTCAAGCATCGAAAATAAGCTTCATTCACTGAGTTTTAATTCGGATATTATCGAGCATCAGTGAATGTTAAATTTTAACTATTTGTTTTGATAACATAATGATACATTTTTTGATTGAAATTTAACTTTGATAATTATATAATTGATAAATTATATATTAAAAATGTAGTGATAGTAATACAATTGATAATATTACTAATTTTTTAAAAATTCATCAAACATTCAAACATCGGTCAAAATTCTTTCACCGATGCTCGAAATTCTAGAGTTTGGGATCAATGAATGCTCGAAATTCACCGGTTCCAATCTCTACCTATAAAACGTGCCGTTTTATTACTAGTATTAATAAGTTTTTTTGCTAAAATTTAGGGTTAGGGTGCAGTTACAGGGTAAAATAGAAGGTTTAAATTTAGTTAGCATAAGGTTTTAGGGGTTTAAGCATTTTTACTTAGCATTTCAAATCTTATTTACTTAGTAAGTTTTTAAGATATGGTGTTCAACACCAATGGAAAATATTGATTAACAGAACATATAGAAACCTTTTCTTTTAATTAAAAAAAAAAACATGCGTATTAATTAGCAGCAAACACATGCATATAGATAAACAAAATAACTATATTTTTGATACTTTTATTAATTTTGGCCACTGTTTCCCGAAAAAAAAATTTTTTTTTGTGAATACTCAAATAATTTAGAACACTATCACTATTATGATTTTTTTTTTATATGAATATTGCTATTTTCAACCATTTCGAAAACGGTAATAATTGTTTATAAAAACTTCAACTATATAATAAATAAACGATTAATCACAGTTAAACGAATAACAGATACCTAAAATATCTATAAATATATAGTTGTAATTTAATTACTATACGTATAAGTTCTTAAATTATTCTTAAAACATATATAATATATTTAAATACCATCAAACATTTACAAATTCTTTATATAAACAAATTAGTCAATATGTGATTAATAAATAATAATTTAACTTACTACTTTTAAAAACTAAAACAAGGCTAATAAGCGCAATGATGCTAAATACTTTAGTCTGTACACACTTTATAATCAATAATGATAATAATTATATATTCTTCTTCGTACGCCATCCAGCTGGATTGCAGGAAACAGAACTGATATCTCCTTCATGTGCTTATACTTTAAGCTAAAATTCCTTCATGCTATTTCTTGGATTTGATCAATTAAATGATTTAAGATACTCGAGCTAAGAATTAGTAATAATTAAGGTTGCAGACGTTAAACATCAAATAACACACAGCAATAACGTATGGACGTCATTACCTAAATTTTTATATGAGAAGAGTGATTACCTCAGACCTTTCAATGCCGCTGCTATAATCGAAATGTATTCTCAATTCTTACGGTTAACATACGTCGTTCTTTCCAAGTCCTGTAAAAATCTATGAGTAAAAAGATTCTCATTGCACCCGATTCCTCCTTCAGAACCAGCAGGTCTTAGACCTTATCAAAGAACCTCATAGTAATATGCAACCCCATTTTTTTTTTTTTTTTTTTTATACTTGCTTACTATGCTCGTTGGTATTTCCACGATGAACGTGTAAAATACCAACCTTTAATTAACGCTTAAGCGTCATTTACTTCAAGTCCCAGCAAGAAACCCATTGAATTTTTTGTAAGGTTTTTTTAAGATAAACGTATAATTGGATGTTTCATTATAATTTTTTTTTTTTTTTTCTTGGAAGAGACAAAACATAAATATTCGCGCTTTTAAAACATCTTACGTCGCACAAACTTTGATAATCGGATACGGGATCTACGTATTAAAATTCGTCGACAGCCATTTCGCCGACAATCTAAGAGCTTACCTGACAACATAGACGTAAGTTATTTTTAAAATGTTACATTTTAAGTAGGGTTGAAAATTACATAAATTACATGTAAATTACATTGTAAATTTCAAAATTGCAATGTAACTTTACATTTAATAGTGCACTAGCACGTGATTAGT